AAAGAGTGTACTTTTCCATGAAATGTTTACTCTATGGACAGTCAACACACAATAGAGAGGTATGGATGCCTACTAGTTGGTATATAACTTTCCAGGGAAAGACTGCAATGGCAGGAAAACTTTCATTTTTTTATTCTCCTGGAAAATAAACTCAGATGCTTCTGTGACAAAAAGCTAGGGTCAGATTTTAGTTAAGAGCCTTAGCACATCCTCTGGTAACACTAGCTGAACTGTTCAGGAGGATGTTTTGATTGACAAAAGAACATGCTGATATTCGAGTGCCACTTCTGACCACAGCCAACAGCATTTGTACCAGGATTTTTCCTGTAAGCAAAAAATCTCCACACTAAAATGAGATTTGTGCTGCAGAAGCAGCTGGTCAAAAAGCATAGTATTCAGCTTTAATAAGCATAATCAACACTGAAGGCCTTGCACTAAGAGGTTTTGTTTTTAACCCTTTTCATTCTAGCTCTAAAACCCTATGGTCTACTGCAAAAAGAAAACATAGCATTTTTTAAACTATATGTAATACTTAATATATCCTACATCAGCTACTGTTTTTCCTCATAACTTACAGTAATTCTACTACAGAGAAAGGCCAGGGGAAGATATTTTGTAGGAACTGTTAATAGGTGACCGAAAATTATTTGAAAAATCAAGACATCTCAAGAATTCAGTCAAAATCAGAGGTAACTGTAAATAAGTTTTCTGGAACAGAACTTCTGACAAAACTAAGACCTTGGAAAGAATATTTTCAAATATCTGCAGCTTATATACTATGGCTACTCAGAAACTCCTGCATATAGTTTACAGCAATATTGGAGATAAGCATTACTATGTATTTCTGTTTGAAGCTCACTTATCACTGAGACACTGATATGGAACCCTGGTACTCAAAAAACACACAAAACAAAAAACCAACAACCCCAGACTTCAAACAACAACAACAAAAAAGAAATCCCACACCATTTCTTCACTTCTTTTTCCTTAGTACCTCTCTTTTTTGGGGGAAAGAAAGAAACTGAATTGAGAAAGCAATGACTGTTTCACCAACCTACCAGAAATATCTAGCTCCTTTCATTCTTTTTTAGATCACACAGATACATTATTTATACATTTTGCTCTGAATAATGGGGGGTGCAGGCTGTTCATAAAAAGGTAAGGCAATTTAAGAAATTTTATACAGTCTGCAGTATTGTATAGATACATAATCCAGAATGAATTCACAGATAGGAAAGCAGTCAAGACACACAGGTACGCAAGTTTATGTTCCTTAACCTCTTCACACAACCGCCCCCTCCCCGCAACCTCCACCAGGATCTAGACAGTCCTAGCTGAAGATTCAGAGAGCAAAGAGGGACTTGGACAGTGACCAGTGCTGTACTGTTCCCAGGGAACTGAGGGTTAAGAGGTATCTCACTTTTTTCATCTAGCAGGAGCACAACAGAATTTGTTTGATATTTCTTTTTGAAAGGCCAGGTGGAAATATTAGCACAGACCAGGTCAGCATTTACTGCTGTTTGAAAAAGTCAATTACCTATTCTAACAAACAGTCAGAGGTAAAAAAAGCCAATTTACAAATACGAAACCCTCATAATTCACCATATGAATAATGAAAAAGGGGAAGCATGGATGAAATCCCTCATGCAGTGCACCAAACCCCCAGAAACACAGATTTAGCTAACATGTCCAAAAGCAAACATGTTTCACTAAGACCTGACTTTCATGGGTTAAAAATGGATTGAAAAGACACTGAGCAATTAAGCAGTCTAGACTTTCACTTGGAGGTCAAGGAACTGACAGACAGTTTTTAGAAGCTCAGATTTCTGTGGTGACCTTCTGTTGGTAGAAGATTGCAACCGTGTAGCCAATTCAGCTGAATCTTCCAGAAAACTGAGCAGTTACTTTATAATTTGTGGAGATTTTCAAAGACACAGCAATTAGCTTAATGCTCTCTGAGTGTCAGGGGAAGATAAACACCTAGCCATTGCTAATACTTCTGAAAATAGCCACCCCTATATTTGTTTGTGTATTTCAATTTGATTTTTAGGAAAGATTTTCCCCTGAGTACTTATCTTCCAGCCTTACAGCACTGACTATTAATAATTAATAACTGTACCTCATCTCTACTATAGAGTACTCATGCTATATTTATTCCAAGATTAATTAGCTATTATAGCTAGGACCAGATTAAGGTTCCTATAAATTCATCAAAGACTTTCTGCAGGAATTTTCAATTGAAAAGCATCTGGCTTTGCAAAATGCTTTTTCCATGTATCAATCTTTTATTTAACAATTTTGCTGAAAAGAAAAAAAAATCCTCAGATAAAAGGAAAATATAACATTTTGAGTTAGCTTGTCAGGCCAAATTTTAAAAGCATTTTAAATCTCCATCTGCACAAAATTTTCATTACTACTGTATGCCTCACTGCCCTGCAGGAACAGACCATAGGTGTTTCCAATTGTTTCTTGTAAGGATAACACCTCGTAAGACAAATAAAACAGACAAAGAAAAAAAGTGAGAAGTAAACTTGGAACCAGAGACGAGAATCTTTAATTTCTCTCCTTGCAGTAAAATGTGTGAACTAGGGGGAGAAAAAAAAAAAAAAGAGACGAGAATCTTTAATTTCTCTCCTTGCAGTAAAATGTGCGAACTAGGGGGAGAAAAAAAAAAAAACCCAACAATCTCACACAGTTTCATTTTTGCCTCATGTATTTCACACTGTTGTCCATAAAGGTTGCTTTAATTGGATGATGGCCTACACCCTCAAACCAGCTTGGCTTTATATGTGATAGTACTTAACTATCACCAGAAATCATTCCTGCAGAGGCTGAGCCTCCCATTTCCTTGATGGCATGCTAGCACCATGGTTGTTGCCTAATGGAGAAGACAAGACTTTGATCCCAATCCAGCTAACACCTACTACCAAGGATCCTGTGAGAAGATTCACATTTAGCACTGCCAATTTCTAATCTCTTCTGCTGAAAGAGGTTTGGATAGCAGCTGGGTATCTAGATGGTCAGGCAGACATCCTCACAGAAGCAGAAGGCACAGAGAAAGATATTTAGAGATCTTGAAGGTCAGTCATGGGATAGCTACCAAGTCTTGGTGCTTCAAGTGCCAATGCTGAGCAAGCATACTATTATGGATATCACTTTTGGTCCTGGGATCCTAAAATATGCTGAGAATTGCCTTCTGACTAAGGTTTCATTGTGACTGCATACTATGTTTCAGACTAGTGCAATTTTTACTTTGTAAATACAGCCCTCACCTCTGACCAGCCTTTAAGTGGCACTGAGTAGTCATCAGCGAGGCCAGGTGTGATCTTGCTTACCCACAAATGCTGAGCAGCTGATGTGCTACCAGCTTCCACAGCAAAAGCTCAGAATGAGCAAGGATACCATGCAAGGGTAAAAGCACCATTCTAGAAAGTCAATTTAACTCCACAAACACTGGTGTGCTTTTAGTAAAGACACTTCAGCCAACAACCAGTTTCGAACAAAGTGATTTCACTGAGAAGCTCAGACAGGACTAAGCTTGGTCTCAGTATAGAACAGGGTTAAGGGTTTTTGAATACGAAGCAGGGAGGAAAGAGGACACAATGTCCCATATCTATTCTTACAACCTTCGTAAGGGGTCAGGTGTCATTAAAATCCCCGCACTGTTCTTCCTCTTCATTGCAACAGCCGCTCTACAGTGCAAAGATGTGTGCTCCAGTATCCTCTTCCTAGGTACTCCTGCATAAGACTGGCATAAACCAAAGCCCAACTCCTAAAAAACAACCAAGCCAAAAGCAGGTGCTTATGACCTTGACCAATCAGAAGTCCAAATAAAAAAAGAGTCACTCCCCTCATCCAACACAAAGAGGCTTTTGATTTAGTCCCTGTGTTTGCAAGAGAAGCAGTAATGAAGGTGCAATGAAAATTGTCCAAATGCTGTGAACAAATCCCCTCAGCAAGCAATACTCAAGTCAAGTGCTCAGATGTGCATACAGTAAAACAGAATCAGAACCACCTGCAGATGTCACAAGAATATTCTAGCCAGGCAAGGACTGTATTTGAAGACTTTGTTTAATGGACAGAAGAGAGAAGGAGAATGGAGATACGCACTGAAACACTACTAGAAAAGTAATAAAATTAATTTTATTTAAACCTCAACCCTATATTAATCCTGAAAATTAATATCTAACCTTTTCCTTGAATGAAAAGCAAAATCAAAATCAATCTGCTTTAGCTTCAAGGCAGTGACTTGCATGAGGTCACCACCTGCCAAAAGTCAGACTCAAAAAAATAGTAATAGTATCCAAAGCTAATGGAAGCTCAGACAGGGGAATCAGCCGAGTGCCTGCTCTATATGAGCACAACAGATGCCAAATGACCCAGGGCACCCTGCTTGTGTCCTTCTTCGTGCCCTGAAGCTGACACCATTTTTTCATGCCTCCGAGAACTTCTATACCAAGAATATCAATGCTGTTTTATTGCAGCAA